AGGCAAAATCACTACTATTTTGTAAATTGCCTTGAATACAATAACCTTGATTGAGACAATACCCACACTGTACATCTCGTTGTTCGTAACTTAAACATTCGCTACGATTTGTGTTCATTTTACAATAACAAATATAATTCTGTGAATAGAAACATGATTGAACGTCAGATTGCCAACAGAAAGTGTTAAGAAGTGTCATAGGTGATCGAGTAGAAATTGACTTACATTGCGAAGGTTGAGAATTAAGATCAATAGTAAAATTTCGTAAGCTATTACTACAATTAATATAGAGCATGCTCAAATGGACAGTCACAAAATCACGCTGGCGTTCATAGGTATACAAAAGACCAATTTCAGGTACAGTTATTTTGTATATTGAATCTCTACTATTGATGATAAGGGTAATAGGAAAAGATGTTAATTTTGGTATCAGTATTTGCTGTCGTAGTTTCGGATAGTCTTGAGATATTTTCAACAACTGTAAGAGAAATGCCTCTTCATTAGGCTTTCGTCTGTTTAATATTAGCATAGGTTTAGATGATCCATCAGATTTGGAGCTATCACGAAAATACCAATATTCATGAGGAGGTAAAATAGAAAAAGGTAAACAGATTCCGTTTATTGACGAGAAAATCGAAGTTTGTTTTTCACAAATAGTATTACGAACGAAACAGTGAGGTGGTAAATACCCATATGGACAAACACATAGATCTTCTTCTAGAGCAAGAGCATGTAATGAGCACTTGTTTTGTTTGAGAGGTTCTGTACATAGATTTCCTTTCCAACCACGTTGACAAAGACAAAAATAATTATTTTCATCATTATTAACGATCATATAACATGATCCATTATTTTGACAATGATTGTGAGGACATCGCCATGGTAAGGAACGATCAGGAAATCGAAGTATTTTAGCTAATTGAAACACAGGAAGAATACCAATAGTATTAATTGAATATTCCCATACAGACAAGAGTTCAAGTCCATCATATATTTGAAATTGAACTGAATAGTTACCAGTAAAGTTTGAATGAGGATACAATAAGTAAGCTTTATGTTTTGGGGGAAACTCTTGATCAATATCAACAAATCTTTGATGATCAACAATGAAAGTTTTGTTATAGAGTAATAAAACCAAAACATGAAGTAATGGTGGTAAATCCGAACGATGTCTACGATCAAAACGAATACGTACAGTAACACGAAGACGATCATACTGACAACGATGCCCGTAAAAGCTAGGTGGACAGAAACATACAGGTTCTTTTCCATTTCCACTTAATAAGTAGAAACCACGATTGCAATACCCATGTAATTGTGGATTAGAAATACTTTTGGTCTGAATACCTGGCAATGGTACTGTGGATGTGTTAAATAATTCTACGTTATCACAGAATAACAGGTAACTTGAAAGGCGTCGAACTTTACTTATTCTATAATTACTTTCGTATGGATTTGGACACCAAAATAAATTTTCATAGTTAGGACAATTATATTTGGGAGAACAACGATCATGCATGCAAGTTTTATTATCATAACAAGCAAAGTACTTCTCGGAACATCGATGTCTGGCCCAAAAGCAGATTAGTTCATCTGTTTGATCATAGCAATCAATAATACCATTGCATATAGCTGTATGTGATAAACACTGTGTTGAATTATCACATAGAAACCGATCACCTAATATATGATGATCAGGGCAAACAAAAACATTTCGTTCATCTCGTCCTCCAATACAATCAAGTTGTTCATCACCTGCTTTCCAATAATCTATGCAAGGTCGATGCAATGTTTGATTGATAAGAAAGTTTTGTGTGATACAAAAATGCTCTTTAGTATTATTACATTGAGCTTCAAGTATCCATCGAGATTTTGTTATGGAACAATTTAATTCATCTTCACCATTGTCACAATCAAAATCTCCATCACATAAATCATCTTTATTAATGCATTGTCCGGTAGTTCGACATTGATACATGTCTTGAGGACAAAACCATTGAGAACAATTTTTTTCGTCATGTCCATCTCTTGTATCTCGTATTGAATCACAGTATCGATGAAATGGTAGTTGCATATTATTAACACGATCAATTTTATCAATATATGCACTACGAAATACCCAACAAGGATATTCTTCTCCAAAATCGCATCGAAAATAATACCAATTTAATGCATTAGAAAGTTCATCACTTCCATCTGCACATTCTTCTTCTCCATTACCCAATTGTTGATAACTAATATATTGCGTTATGGATAAATCAGAGCACCGATAACGATATGGAAGAGTGATATTGTACTGATCATTTTGCTCATCCTCACCGAATAAACAATCAATATATCCATCATTGATTCGTCGTATAGCCATTGGATAAACAAATTCATCACAGATAAATGATTGTGAATTTATTATTAATGGTTGAGAGTATTCTCTAGAACAAAATAGTTTTTATTTTTATGTCAAAAAATAGTATGAATGATGACGACTAACCGTGATAAATTATTCTGTAGTTGATTTTTTACCATTTGACAAAATAAATATGAAAATGGAAAAAATGGCAGATCCGCAAATAATAGATAGCTTTCAAAACTCCAACAAGTACCATTGGCTGATGTTATCAGAGTACCATTGCATATGAATGTTCCATTAAGACAGACAACATCAGGAGTTTGTTTGGGTAATGCAAGTCCAAAGTTTTGTCCAGTATAAAATGAGACAATACGTGATTTATTGTAAAACATTTTAAGAACAGGTGATAACACAGATTGTTCAGGATACTGAATAAAATCAGGACAGTAATTAATAATATGGTTCCATGATACTTTGCGTTGAGATCCAACCAACAAGTAACGAAGACCTAATGAACATGATGTCGAATTTTGCAACGGAGGTAGACCATCTAGAAAATATTTTAATTTAATATTTATAGAACAAATTGTGAGTGAGAATATGAAGATCTACATTCATCTCCTCGCTAAATGAAAAACACTGACCGTTTCCTTTCTGTCGACAAATGCCATTGGCCACTGTTGGCGATCCTTGTAATTCACATTGATAAGCTAAATCTCGAGCATTCTTACAACTGTTTTGATGATGAATTAGATTTGGCCAATGAATACATTGACCATCTCCACAACTAAATTCATCTTTTCGACATAAACGTTCATCACATTCCCAAATCGTTGTTGTTGGACATGATCCAAAAATTCTTCGTATTGTTTCTACTTCTTGCTCATCACTTGAATCCATACAATCAATCGTACCATCAAATAGAAACTCATTTGGTATACACATTGAATTACGACATTGAAATTCATCCGATGAACAATTTTGAAGTTCAAATTCATGACATCCGACTTCATCAGCTCCATTATCACATTGTACTATACCATCACAAACTTGTCGCCATTCCAAACACAATAAACCTATGTTACACGTGATCATATCAACTAAGCACGTGTAAAATCCCGTTTCACGAGCCGCAGGATCACGTAACTGTTCTTTCGATAACTCAGCAATAGTTGACAGATTAACAGGAAGAAGATATTGACATGTTGCACCGATCCGATTATGAGTACAGTTACAGATAAAACTGTTAGCTGAGTTATTATCTAAATAATCTGCATAACACTCAATAGTTTCAAATGGAATTTGCCATTTCAACAAATCATCTGCAGTAGTATTACTATCTTTTAATGTTGAGAAATACCACATGGTTCCTTGCGTGCACGATGATATATTATTCGAAAGTAAATCATGATCTCGACAAAATAGACGTTGATCATACAATAAACAATTATCATATCCATTATGCGAGTATAAAATCCATTCGAAACTATTCGTTGTTACAGCATTGTCATATTGCAAAAAGAGTATTAATATTCCACAGAGAATCCCAAGCATTATTCAGTATTAACTTGTCAAAAAGAATTCTATTTAGTATCAATTGGTGAAATTGATAATATACGTGTTAAATAAAATTTTATCAGTATTTAACAATTTATCTTTATGTCATGATTAGTTATATTCAAAATAATATAGTAAATATCATGTCTGTCATTATAGACATAATTTCCGTCATATTAAAAGTCACATAACTAAAATAAATATCGTTTTATCAATAGCATAGACATGCATCATTTCTAGTTTTTAACGTTCAGTTGATCAAATCTTGTATATATAAGTATGGGCGATAAAAAAGGTTTCCAAACTCTCAAAATTCATTTATTTAAATGTCAGAAAAAAATCTTTATTTGATAAGTTCTCAGCGAGGGTGTGGGTGTGGGTGATGAGGGATATTTCACTGGTACCGACACATCCCACACCCACACCCTCAAAAACTCGTTATCTGAACAAGAATTCATCCAAAATACTAAATGCGAAAGCAATGAGAAAATCGACTGTTTGGTAATACCACTATAACGGTACCTTTATTCCATTCGGTTAATTTTTCAGCATATAATAAAAGGCATATTTTGATAGAGACTTTCAAGAGCTATCGAATGGCGTAATTACATGTCTCAACAAGCCGTTTTCGAGTCTAAAAAGAGATGAAACATGATGACTAACTTTTACTTTCAAAGGATATATAATTTTTCATCATTATATTAACCAAAATCTAATTTGATTTTATATTTTATTTCCTAAAATAGTTCTTGTACATTATGATAATTCAATAAAGAAAATAATATTAACTTGTCAATACGATTTAAATATTCTTTAAACAGCTTACATTTTTCTTATGTTAAATTATTATTCGAAAAGTCATTTCATTTGTCAAAAATTATTATCAAAACAATCAAAATAAGATATTGTTTTAAATGAAATAATTTTACAAATTAACTATTTTTTATAGGAGAAACAAATTCTATAAATTAGTTAAGATAATTTAATAATATAAAATATCAATCTATTTTATAATATTAAATATACTATTGAAATTTATTTTTATTTTCTTCAAATATTTCATGTTTCGTTATCATTTGATATGCATAGATGAACATAAAGACTGAATAAATTATTTTTCTCATATAAATATCTTTAATATAGATTGTACAAGGAAAGATCTGTCATAACAAATGACATAATAATATTAACTACGTGGTTTTTTTAATTCATTATATATATCACACGTATATCCGAAAAAAAACTTCTATTCTATAGAAAATCATAGAATCTTTTATTACAAGACGACGGGTTGAATATCTCGACTACAGATATTGTATAGTATGACGATTTATGTGTACCTAAACGAATATATACCAATGCCTTCGATTTTATCGTATTGTTAGTTTGAAAGAGTTATGTTTATATATATATATATATTTGACATTTACTTGCATTGACATATAACTGTTTTTAGTGAAAAATATGTAAGTTTGTTTGTTTTAGCTATACATTGTTAAGATGGCAAGCATGATAATGGTGAAAGGGACTTTCATTGTGGCAGTTTAAATGTATTGAGAAACAAATGTTCTAATTATAAGACTTACAATGTGTCCTTCAATTGTTTGATTTTAACCAATTATTGCAATAATATCATTCAGAATTTTGGAGAAACTGCCACATACACTGGAGTAAAGTATGGATGTGAATATTACAGTCATTCTACACCCTTAAAATTGATTTCTTGATAATCTTAATTTTAAAATAAAATAATTCGATAGAATATTTAAAATATGATTAGATTAATATATAAATAAATAATAATTATTAATTCTCTTTCATTTGTATAATAAAAATATTTCAAGATTTTATAGATATATATAGAAAAATATTTTTTATGAAAGAAAAATAGATTCTTTCATCTTATTTCTCACTTGTTAAAATTTTAAATTAATTAAAAAAAAGTTAAATATTAGTTTTAGTAATTAAAATAGGTCTTTATTATGAACTAAAAAGAATATATTTCTTTTTTCTTTTTAAATTCTTGCTAATCAATACATTCATCTTATTCTAATCATTTCTCATATGAAAGTATTATTAAATATATGTTTAAAATAACAGAATTGTATACTGAAAGTTTTCTTTTCTAGTTAAAATAAACTTTTATAGAATTATTAATCGAATCAACCATTCTAATAGTTTTTTTATAAAATAAAATACTATTTTTATATTCTAAAAATTCATTAAAATGATTTATGTTACTTTAGAATCAATTAAGTTAATTTTGTTTTTCGTTTACATGAAAAATATTTTCCAATTATAAAATTGTTCTTTGTCTTCTATCCGATCGATTAAAAATGTAGTTTTTGTCAAATCATTCGACTAATTGAACTAAATCTTATTCTTAGAAATAATTCTATAAAATAATTTCAATTTATTTTTTAGTTTGACTATTCAATAAAAATAGTTAAAAGACTTTATTTTTTATTCTATAGAAGGTAAATTAAAAAATAAAATTCATTTCATCATGTTTTTAAATCATTAGAATTTCTGAAATATTTTTTTGAAAATTTTAATTATTTACGATTTAATATTTAAAACTTATTAAAAGTCTAATATATAAAATGCGTTATTTTATGATTCTAAAATAGTTTTTGAAATTGAAATAAAATTAATTTCAAATATTATTTTAATTCATTAATCAATTAAAAAGGTTATGAGTGTAGATATGACAGTATCATGATCCACTGAAACCCAAACTCCCACATCTCAAGATGGTTTAAGGTTATTTTTCATACGTATAAGTAATAAGTTAACAGATAAAATTCCATTAAAATCGATTTTTTTACCTCTTTTCTAATATAGGTATCGCTAGTAACGTTCTCGTGTAAATCAATCAGACATTTTAAAAATATTAGAAGAATTTGATATAAAGAAAAAGAAATGCAAATGACTCAAAATTATAGTGTAAGTAAAATATTCACTACATAAGAAATAAATTAATACGAAGTAAAAGGCGATGTAAGGTAGACAGAGTTAGTATAAAAGAGACTAGAAGAAAGAAAAAAACCGATTGGAGTAGAATGAATCGATATGAAAGATACGATAAAAATAAGAAAAAAACATTGTAAAGAAAATTTGAGCAAGAATATGGAAGGAGGGTTGTTACAAAATAGATAAAAAAGAACAGAAAAAGAATAAGAATATGAAGAGTCAATACGAAAGAAAGACAAAAATAGACAAGCAAGTGTACAGAAAAAAAACGAGAAGAATATACTCATGTCTGAATAAAAAAATATATGTACACACGTGTATACATAGTTAGTCGGCTATTCACAAATAGGTAGGCACAACCATTTTATTAGTAAATATAACGTTATATTACTATTTCATATGTATTTCTTCATTAATAAAAACTAAATGTATTATTTTTTGAATAATTTTATTTAACTACGTATCGTGTTGTATTTAAAAATAAAATTCGTAATGTTATTGAGTCGATTCTTTACATGATTTTGATCCATCTTTTATATCTCGTCTAATAGAGTCACTATGATGGTATTCATATATTACATTTTTGGTATCGAAAACGATCAAAGAATTCTTTTATTTATTTTGTTGAGATATATTGAACATCCACTGATTAATCATACTTAGAGAGCAGAAAAATAGAAAATATCAACAATATTGTTATGCCATCATTAGAACTGTAATTTTTTCATATTCTTCACACGAAAGCCATCATTTTTTACCATTTTTTCCATTCTCTCAGTAGTTAAGGCAGCAATTTTTAAATTCTTCCTTCAATCGTTTCTTATTATCAAATTTCTTCACGAAGAAAAAATGTTTATCTTGATCCATTTTCTTGGATGAGAAATTAAGACGAACACGAATAAATCCTTAGATTTAAGTATACTAGTAAAATGAACTTTCTTTTGAAGTAAATGTTGAGAATGAATATGATAGACTTTTTAGTATTACAATAGTATTCGTTTAATACTATAAATGAGGTTATATTAAAATGATCCATTTGATTATAGAAATTATCAGTTCATTTTATTTCATTTGTAAAAGTATTTATAAGTTCAATAAAGAAAAAATTGTAGTGAAAATGAATTAATTTATCTTAATGAAGGTTATGTTCTCAGACTTTTTATGTTTTGAAATGTCCCAGTTTCAAGTTAATTAAACAAGAAAAAAAATAAAATTTTTCGTTTTACAACTATTAAACAAACAAAATGATATAATCGAAAAAAAACAAAAGTACTAGTACTAAATGATTTTGATTTATTCCATTGAAAGTAATCAAGTTCAATCATTTCTTTCGAGGTCCAAAAGAGAAAGCACTAGAAATACTTTTAAATTAATGGATTTTTATTTAATTTAATATTTTTCAATCATTGTCCAACTGTACTACTTAGTTTATATTTGATTTATATATAATAAAGAATTAATAAAATAAAATAATAATGAATCCTTTATCTATGTTTTTTTTATTTAACAATGACATAACGTGTGACTAAACTCAAGTAAAATATACGCATTAAAATCGGCATGTTGTATGTATAAACTATTTATTTTTTTTTAGATATTAACATTTTATACTTGACACATAACGTAATATTCTTCTGCATATTTATTATTGTTTTTCAGTACAAGAAGCTGCTAATAGATCAACCAATAAATTATTAGTAAGTCAAAAAAATACTGAATTCTATATATTTGTATACAATCTGAAAAGCGGTGACAATATGTAGTAAAAAATAAGACATTTTCTTCTATTTTCTGACTACCTATGTAAAAAAAGGTCTAGCAAATTAGATTAAAATAGAATTAAAATGATGCTCTTTTAATTTATTTTCAATTAGAAAAAAATTGATTTATAACGCATCTTGAGGATGTAGGCGAATGATTATTTGTTTTATGAGTACTCATGCTCACACTTAGATGAAGATAATGCTAGCGTGGAAGAGCTATAGTTCATCTTGTCTTTGATTAGTCTACTCATTATAGGAAATCAGTTATCAACCAGTATAACAAATGGCATTCACAAGAAGCGGACGCTTTATGGACAATTGTAGCACAACACGGCAACAATATAATTGGAATCCAATATCCGGTTATAAAGATCGGGCTCTTAAGTCATTAAAAGAAGCTGTAGCGAGTATCACTCCATTCGTCGACAAAGTCATGCAGTATGCAGAGGATGCTAAACAAAAATGTAACAGAAATACAAAACTGACAATAAATGAATCGGCAGCAATCTATCTTTACACAATGCCAAACACATCTTTCTATGAGAAACTCAACGAAGCTCTTCGAATTGAAGATCCACTGGCGCTGGCACCCTGGTTCGACTTTCTAAAACTATTCATTACCGCTCTAGGGAAATTACCGGAATTACCATCGCGTTCGACTACAGTATGGCGAGGTGTTGCACAAATTAGTTGCTCTGATTTCCGTGACAAGGATATGTTCACCTGGTGGAGTGTGAATTCATGCTCGTTAGATACCAATGTCGCTGCAATGTTTTCATGCGAGAAGGGCACCCTGTTTTGCATTCATACTATTAATGGCAAAGATATTAGCGATTACTCGTCAGCGAATAAAGGGGAAGTAGGAGAGAAAGAAATCGTTCTTATGCCTGGAACTCGCTTACGCGTCAAATCCAATACGTTTGGTATTAATGATTTTCGTGTCGTTCATTTGGAAGAATGGTAAGTCTATTTGAAAAATATTATGAAACCTAACACTTTTATGTACTAATCACGAAATTCACTAAACATCTTAGTCTTTGACTTAGTGTAAGGCACATCAAACCAGATTTCTTGAGATCGAAAAGCATGAATTTAGAAGTCTCATATTTTCAAACTTTCAATTTGGTTGACCTCTCAAAAGATAGACATTAAAATTTTATATAGTTCATGTATTATTTATTATTTATTTCCAAAATATCGAAATGAAAGTCTGCGCGAAAAATACTACGAATTTTCAAGATCTTCGGCTTCTCAGCCAAAAACGCTATTTTTGAGTCAGTTTCATATCACAGTGAGATTTCTGGAAGGTTAAATTCGTTAAATTCTACAAAGATTTTATATTTCTATTATCTCGACACCCAAAGTTCAAAAACAAATTTTTTCTTTTAATATGTTATATGAAAAGAGAGTCTTTCTTCGTATTATTCAGTGGATTTTAATAGACTTGCTATTGATATTGAAGTCGTAAGTTTCAATGAAATCTATTATGCACTATAAATGAGAACGCACATGACAGATTTGGAAAATCTCATCTTTCAATATCTGAACACATCTTTATAAGCTTTCAAAAGCTTAGTCTATGTAAAATTCAATATGAATTGAAAAGTCTTTGATTTTCTGTATTTCAAACTGAGTGATAGGCGAACATTCTATTGTTGTTTTACACGACCTAGTTTTTCTCAAAGCAGAATTCGAATTTTTGAAAGATATGCTCATGCAGATCGTTCCCCAGCTCTCGTAACTTTATCGAATTCTTAGCGGCAGCTTTTTCATTTTTGCTGTGAAATCGACTTCTCAGATTGGTTTAAAATAAGCCATATATTAAACGTCTGAATACCAAGGATAGTTTCTTCACTATGAAGTATCACTTTTAGTATAGTTCTGTCTATTTCCCTTCTCAATAGTTTAGTGAATACGTCATGAAAATGATAGCATTCATTGATTCTTTTGAGAATATGGATAAAATTGAAATAATTCACAGCACCATGGATTTTGTTATCATCGAAATATACTTAATTCTGGTTAATCGAAAACATTAACATTGTCATACATCTTCACGTGATTCAGGAGTTTCAGGATATAGTACTATCCTCGGATCAATGACTATGACATTACAGCTTTCTCTCCAACTATCATTTGTCTATTCCATAGCATTGAATCTATATCTTTTAGTACTCCAATTCCTGAAGGAAAACATGTCATGATATCCTATGATTCGAATAGTCAAGAAATTGTATCTAAAATTTATCATTATCTACAACTCGAACATATACCACTTTGGCTCAATAAACAAAAAGAAACGACGAATGATCTAAAGAAAAGGTATGATTTTTTGCAGTATTTCCTTTCTGCAAGTACTGCAATTATACTGTTCTTTTTTCAGTTTGGCTGAAGGAGTAGAAAAGGCGTCAGTCGTTTGTTGTTTCGTGACTCCGAATTATGAAAAATCTGACTTTTGTCAACTCGAATTACAGTATGCACAGAAGCGGCAAAAACGAATCATTCCATGTATGCTCACAGATATAAATGTATCGAAACCTTCCAATTGGTTAGAGCCTATAATTAAAAATGTAGAATCGATCGACTTTCGCAACGTTTCCGAATCATCATCCATGCAAACAAAGGTATGGGAACTTATTGATCGAATAGAAGACCAGCCTCCAACACCTCAATATACACCGTCACAAGTGGTTGACCGACTAAATTATCTATTTGAACTGATTAAATATGGATATAAGCAAAATAGTCGCATTGAACGTTTCATGAATCCAGTCAAATCTTTTCCGATCGACCAAAGTTACATTAATTTGGCCATAGTAGAAACTATAGATCAGCATGAAAAAGAAAAGAAGCTTCGTGATTCTCAGCACAACGATGCGATTATGGAAGCGTTTGAAAATATCCATGGCACCAAGACTCCAATAGATGTCAAAGACATTTTCAAAACATGCAAGGATCAAACAAGGAATGTGCTCGTATTCGGCCGAGCTGGCATTGGAAAATCAAGATTTTGTCAATACATCGCCCACCAATGGGCGACTGGAATGATTTGGCCTGAATACGACCTGATTGCTTTGATTCCATTGCATTCCTTGACAACAGACCGTTATCCTATATTACCAGCTGGCATCAACTATTCTCTAATAGACGTTCTGAGAAAAGAGTGCATTTCTTTCGATCAATATCTATCAGAAGAAGATGAAACACAATTGCAAGAACAGTTTCATAAAAGTCGCATTCTTTGGCTTTTAGATGGTTATGATGAAATGGTAGGTTATCCTTTACCCTGATTCTGGTACCCGGAATGCATCCTTAAATCAAATCCACATTTGTGGATAAAAAACAAAAAATGTTAAAATCAATAATAATTTAGGGATTTTGATTTAGGGATTTTTTAATTTAGGGATTTTTTTCTTAATTATTCATTGATTTCACTCATCCATGACCAACTGGTCACCAATTATATTTTAAAATATCTGCAACTGGTCACCAGTTTTTTGGCAAAAACTGATATCATTAAATATCTACTATTATTTATTCTGCCTTATTAAATATGTTTTTAGACAAAAATCATGAGTTATCATAGTGAACTTAGGTCACCAGATTCACAACATGATGTATAGAGCTAAAATCGTGACAGATCCATTTTTTGTTTCGTCTCATTCATTTAGAAGTCATTCTAAAACTGCGTGATTGAATCACACAAAGATGAATTTAGTCACCAGATTCTAAGATAGCTACTCTCATTCTGTTAGTTTAATATCAATGTGATATAAGTGGTCACCAGATTCTGAAATATCTATTGTCATTTTATTAATTTAATATCAATGTGATATAGATGATTACCAGACTCTCAGATAACTATTTACAATTGATTCGCTCAATATCGCACTGACGTAACTGGTCACCAAATTCTATGGTAGCTACATTTTTATAGTTAACTTTATATTTCGTTAAGTGTAAATAGATATTAGGTTTAATAAAACAAAAAAGAAACTTGATAGTCAATTGATGACTACCGAGACTTCTAACTATGTATTATTGAGTAGAAGAAGAAACGAATCTGGTCACCAGATTGGATGATATATATTTAGGTAGGTTATACGTTCATTTTCAATGTAGTATGATCGGTTACCAGATTCTTCAATAGCCATTTTTATTAAACTTCAGTTGATAATTATTGAAGTACAGATAACCATTATATTTAACGAGTAAAAAAATACTTCGTAACGAAATGATGAATATTCATTTGGTCTTGTACACTTTTTAAAATCATAGTACTAACTAGTCATTTATACTAGGGAGAGAATAGCTTTATAAAAATGGGTATGTTTATTGGTATAGGTGAATAGTTCGTTTTGGAACTATACGCAAGTTATAGTTCATGTTATTGTGCTCATCAAGCACAACTGCTTTGTCATATGAGTAAGATAATTATTTGCGTTAAATTGAATATTTCTTACAAGTTTTATTTAAAATATGAAAAATAAGAAAACAAGTTTTTTTACAATAAAAAAAACAATAAACTGCTTTAAGCACGTATAATATTGTAAAAGTTTAGTTCAAAAGTTCTATAAACATCGTATATTAAATGAACAAAACTGATAGCAACTTTTATATTCTATATAACGAAATAATAATATTTTGATAAACATATGCAATAACACACTATAAAAAATTATAGACGTAGATATAAATGATTACCTGTTTCGACTTTAGTATTTTTATCAAACTTTTTTTGCTATCCATTTTGAGGATTCTAAAAATAATTTTCTCACGTTTAATTTTCCTTTTTTATATGAATCCCATAAGGATTGTAACGATTGATTGATAAGAATTGTTTTATCTGTTTTTTTTCTTTTGTGCACATGTATACTTGAACGAATTTTTTCGAATAACTGTTGCGCTAATAGTTCCTCTTTTTCAAACCAAATTATCAATTTATATAGATGTGGATGTGCACATAACTGTAATCCCATTTTGTTGTTATAACCTATAATTGAAAAGAGAAAAAAGATTATCATATATTGTCAACAGTTCAAGCTGAGAATGTTTTTTGAAAATCTGGTCACCACACATATAACAGAACCATGGGTACTATCGCTATTAGATCGTTATAAAATGGCTTATGAGCATTTTTTCCTAACTTTTCGATCTATAAGAATGAAGAAAATTGTCATCACATTGTCTTCTCCTAGCTGAAGCTTGTTTCTCGTTTCAGATAAAAACTGTTATGAAAAAAGGAATATTTCATCAAAAAAAATTTATACCTTCTAAGGCGTTATTAGTTCTTACTGATTGATCAAAAACACAAAATTCATGAACTTTTTTTAACCATTCTTTTTCGAAATATCTAAAAAATTCACGTAAGTTCTGTCGTAAAGATACTGGTTGAGCTGGAACATCTTTTAATTGTGGTTTAATAATATCTTCATAAGCTTTTTTAATTTCATGAGCGGGTAGAAAACCAAGCGCCATTATCTGTCGTAACACTTGACGCACTATCTCCACCTCTTGATACGCTTCTTGAAGTCCTTTCTTTTGTATATTCCTATAAAGAGCTTGAGAGTAGTGGAATGTACAACCTTGGACTTCTGTACCAGGTAACTAAAAGTAAAAGACATATACGACAACTAGGACCTAATAATAAAAAATTGTTCATCTGGTCACCAGATACTTCTTATTGTTATATGTTTTCGAGACTTGTAACTATTTGTATGTTTATAACCTTAGATCATTTTAAAGAGATATCTGGTGCCCAGTACGATATTTAAAGAAGTTAAAGTGTATTCTATATACGATTATTTAAGAAGACTTATTAAAAATGCGCGAAAAAAAGAATTCTTTAGTAAAGACTATATACGTACTTCTTTTTTAATCGCTCTTACTAAAGCGTCTTCGTAATCACTAATCCAATAACCAGGTGTAAAATCTAATTGTAAATTGGTAATGGATATTTTTAGCACTTGTAATATCAATTGGTATGTTTCATAATTTTTCTTCTCGCATAAACAAAAGACTGTTGGCACTATAAACAAAAAAAAGATATAAGTAAGAAATTAAAAAGTTTGTTTTTCTGGTGACCAAATTGCAATCTCTTTTTACCTGAGTACATTTCTTCTAATTCAGCCATAAGAATATAATTTTGTTGAACCATACCTGCTGATGTTTCGAAAGTACCATCACTACCCACTCGATATGATTTTGCTAAAATACCCAACTGTAATTCACTTGAATATATTATAAGTCTACCAACTGCTGTTGGTGCTAATGTATATGGTGGTTGAACATCACTTGAGTCATAGATCAGAAAACGGTCGCCCTTATCTGTTGATTTGAATCCAGGATGTAGCACAAAATTAAGATCTGATGGTGATTTTGGTAAGTTTGCTTGTCGTATACGATAAAGTTGCGACTCTAAAAGAGATTAAGGAAGATTATGATTTGATTATTTGATTTATAATAATTATGAATATATGCCAGAGATATAATAAATTAAACTTTACTTTCTAACATGTTAATCTTAAAAATATCAAAAATGCAAGAACTGGTTACCAGATTAATACTTCACACTATTTCCCGCGAAAATATATTTTATTCAAAAAATTTGCTTTTACTCACGCATGTTATAAAAACTTGGTAGAATCCTCAACATTTCGGCTATATATTTGCCTTTGAACAATTCATTCTCATATATTGTTCGAGGATTTGAAAGTTCATTTAAACATCTGTTTCTAATGCATTGTTTAAATTTTCGAACTACAATATTGTTTGGAGTTGGTTGATGGATATGATCGCCTTGAATCGAGTATATTTTGAAATTATATACAAGTTTAGGATCAGATGATCGAATAATGATTTTCGAACACTGTCGATTTCTTCGGTGCTCACACTCCCAAGTTATAAAATTCTTCCCATAATTCTTCACTAAATATGAATACCCTAACATATTCAGTATATAACCACCGGTTGCTGTTTCAGTAATGGTTAAATCATTATCTGACCAATATTTTATTGATGTTGGATCTGATTGAAGAATTCGACCACCAACTTTTATTGTATCACCAATTTCATAGGGTTTAGTTGTATCAAGCAATTGGATAGTTTGCCCTTGTAATAATGGATCATATTGATAAATTGTTGTTGATTGAATGTCGGACGACTGGTTCAATAATTTCTGTTGTTGTTGCATAGATGAAATAAGAACTAGTGATGTTGTAGCAGTCGACGTAGGTGAATGTACATGTAAATGCTCAATTGTTAATTGTGATGGTAAATGTTGTGATGGTGATTGTTGTAGTGATTGTTGTAATGGTGATTGTTGTAGTGGTGATTGTTGTAATGGTGATTGTGGTCTTGTTGAATGTGTGAGTGAATGTGAAGATGATAGTTGTATTGTCAAATGTGCATCATCTCTTTGGGTTGTTGAAGAGTTCTGATGATTTGCTGATGTACATGTCGGTAAATGATTTTGATGATTAGGTTGTGTTTGTAGAGATTCACATTTTGGTTCAAGTTCTTGTCGTATAAATAAGGATGCTAATGATGAAGTAGTTGCTGTATGATTTGTTTGTAATAAATTAGCTGTTGTATAACATGGTGATGACGAGGTGTGTGTTGTAAAAGATATTGTTGATTGACTGGTTTTTGTATGATGTAGCACTGGTGATGAATCAGATGTTGTACAAAAAGATGACGAAGAATTATTCGTTGCAAACTGTGATAATGATGAACTTGTTGTTGATATAGTATGTGGATAAATAGGTGATGTTGTATTATAATATTGATTCGGTAATAATGTTGGTATTGTTGTACAATAAGCAGACGACTGCATCTGGTGACCAGTTTGATAAGATGGATAACTAGCTTGATATGAAAACGTATCATCTGTTTCATGATATACTGAAGGAGATGATGGCTGTAATGATGATAAAAGGTTTAAATTTCTCATCATTCTAAACGATAAAATAAGATCCCACTCATCTGGTGACAATGTATGTGGTTGATTTTGATATTGGTGTGGATATCGAATATGTTGTTAAAATGTCGATGTAGAGTGATAAGTTTGTGATGATGATGATGATGCTGGTGTATGAAATAATGGCATTCTTTGGTTGTGTGAATTAGAAAGATGTTGATTTGACGATGCATACGACGTATCTGATGGATGCAAAGCAGATGAAGTGACAGGTGGTATAATATTATTGTTGGTATACATCAAAAAAACAAAGGATAAAGGTAATCTATTAAAGAAAAAAATATAAAAATAAAATAAAAGTTTGAGTTCATTATAGAAAAGTACTGATAATAGAAATCAGCTGATCGATTTTTAATTAACATCCAACACAAGCAAAATAAAAAAAACAAGTTCAGTTATTTTGATGCATTCCAAAATTCTTATGAATTCTATGATTGACTGTCTTCATGAGAAGAACAATACTTAGAACAATAGTTTACTGTATCTGTTTGAATATTCTACAAACACTGTTATTACTTACTATATTGAAGCAAACAAATTTTGTATATTTTATTTCGAGCGCTTTCGTCGCAAATTTATTCTTTGATTATCAAAATCGTTGATTCAATTTCCAAGTAAATATGAAATCTAAAATAGTTTTTCATTTTCAAACAAAAATAACATGTAGTATATAGGAAAACATTTTCAGTTCAGTGATAAGCCTAACACATATAACATATAGCAAAAAAACAAGAGAAATAACTGTCGAATGATTAGGTACAAATAAACAAAACATAATCTAAGTTACAGATTTCAATTCAATCTCGTTCAAAGATATTCTGAGTTTTTGATTACTGTCTTTTTTTGAGTTTATCATAAGTTTTCAGGTAATGATTCATGATTTTGCCGCTTTTTTCCTTCGTCAGCAAGTTTCTGTTTCTTAGATGAAGTATTTGATGTTGTTGAACAACTATGTACATCATCTTGTTTACGTTTATGTGTAATACCAGATAAATTTTCTTGTTTTTTGTTTGTTTTTGAACGTAGAAAAATTGATCTTCGTTGACTACACCTATAATTAAAAACCAGACAACGAAAGTTAATTATACTAAAAGAATAGCATTAGTATAAAAACGAAAAGTAAACTCACTTTTTTGATATTTTACGACTAGTAATAACATTTTTATTTTTTGATTGCTTAGCTAATTTCTTTTTGGGTGTACTGGTACTAAAATTTAAAGATAAAGATGAACTTGTAGGTGCACTTTGAATAGGTGATATTTGATTATTTAATGGTTCAATATTTGCATCATCTGTTGTAGTAGAATCAATCGTATGGGTATCTGTATAAGTAATTGCTGTATTCTAGAAGTATCCACATAAAAGTATATATCTGGTTACCAGAAGCTTTTATCTTTAGTCACAAAGTCGTATACTTACAACATTTGCATCGGAAATTTTTTCTTCTGTTGTAACAGTATTAGCATTATTATTATCATTAAAAATTGAACCATGATTGTTTTTATCAATTGATTTTGATTTAATAGGTGATAATGATTCTTCATCACCAACAGTATTTTCTTTATCAAGTGAAGTAGGTGTAACCAGACTTCGATTGTTTTTGTTAATATCACATTTACCTTGATCATCATGCTTCTACAAAATAAGAAGTTAAAAGTTAAATCTAAGGATCTGGTCACTATTTTATAAAATATTAACAACATACCATTAAACTAATATTATTTTGTTTTTCAACTTCTTCAATTTCATTTTTTTCGTCATAATTTGAATTTTCCTGTATTACGAAGAAGAGAACAGATAGTCTCGAAAATAAATAGTCAAGGAAAAATGTGTACATAATCAATATTAATGTTGGTAATTGGAACAGTATAATGAGCGCCTTAACTGTAAATACTTGTCAGTCATCTTTCGGGTTCTTTTCTCACTAAGTTTTTGTTCCTGATAAAGTCAATTCTGGTAACCAAAAGTCGAAAAACCGACTTTATACCAACCTTTTCATCTTGTTTCTTTGCATATTGTTTCGTTATTCCTGTTGGAATAGGTATATATCTTATGGGAGCAACTTCTTCTAATTCGTATCTTGCACCATAATATTGATAAATACTATTGTAAAAGAATAATATAAGCTAGAACAATTTATTATTTTGAAGTTATTGCTTACGGTCGTTTTGATATTGGTGATATGAAATAAGGATTCGGAACGATTTCGATATTTTTAGATATAACTTCCAAAAGTGCATTAGCTCTATCTTTAGTTATTTCAGTATTTAGGATATCCATTAATGTTTTTAACTGAACACCACTCATTAATGTTCCATGGTCACGAGCATAACTCAATGCAGATTGCACACAGTCTTGTACTTCTTCTTCTTTTGTGAGTAACATAAAAGTACCGCCTATTTGAAAGAAAAAAAGTGCAAGCGTGTTCAAGTCTTTAGAAGTCATTACAATAATTACGAACTTACAGTTCTTCGCTCCTCCTCGCCTATGTATCAAACGACGTTTTATACCACCACTTGAAACTAAATAAAAAATAAAAAAATAAATTACTTTCTGTTTTTAGTGACCAGTTCTAAGACATTAAATATTTAAAACGATGTTACCAGAGATCATAAACTATACTATTTGCTGGTATTTATCTATTTCAAAATTTAAAGAAAATAGTTTCAATGACATACCGTTGATTTCGTTCTTTTCTTCTGGATGTTCACTTTCACCTTCGCTACTTGATAAATATACATCTTCATTTTCAGGTTCATTAAGTGAATCATTTACTGTATTAGTATTTTTATTTTCAGTATCTAGCAAAAGAGAGAAATATATTTTGATTATGATGGTGAAAACTCATAGACATAATGCGTTACATCTGAGTTTATTATCTTTTTCAAACTTACCAACTTTTTTGTTCATACAAGTTGATCTTCCCTGATGTTTATTTCGATTATTATTGATTGAGTTTATTTCTGAAACTTTTGTATGATCATCATCACGATTACTTGTTGAATCTATATTTCAAATCAAAAGAAAAGCTATACTCAATAATTTTTATTTTAAGCAGTGCAGAAATATAACCAATTCCACAGAAGAAGTCTTCATCAAGAAAATATTGCATTCACTTACCAACAAGAACTTTCTTTTTTTTTTTATTTGATATTTTATCCTTTATCGCTCCATCAACATATAAAAATAATTTTTTGTTTTTTAATAGAAGTTGTTGTGTAGGTGTTGTTCTTGTTTTATTGGCTTTGAATATAATGGTTGAATTTATTGATGTTTTTCGATGATCATGATAAAGTTTATTTATTTCTTTTTTCATTTCATCATTACCTTTTACTCCTGGAAAATCACATATGTTCTTACTGTACGATGAAATATGTTCCATTATGTATTGTTCAAGATCACCTAAAATAAGAAAATCAAATACGCTTTTGGTGTTCTGGTTACCAGAACTGTTAAGATCAAAACAAATTATTAAAATAGATTTACAAAATTCTAGTAACTTTAGGAAATAATGAGAATAATTGTTTTGGTAACCAGATTCTACATACTTTTATACAAAAGGAGTCAGAATCATCTGACTATAGATAATTAGCTTAAATATTATAAATGGAATTAAATAAGAAACTAACTTTGTTTTTTCATTTTTTTCTTGTATAATATAATGCACGGTTTATGCTAAAACTTCTCGAGACCACCTGATTCCTCAATAGATATATTTAGATCAAATTCTTGTTCTTGATCACTATCACCACCATTATCAATAATTATTTGAGATTTTGAAATTGATTTTGATTTTTTCATTTTAACTGTCGTTGATAATCCTACTTGGTTAACATTTGTTTTTGATGCTGATGTTTGATTTCCAGTCTTTGTTAATGATGAGGATGCTTCATTAAAAGTTGTGACGGTTGATGGTAATGATGATGTTTCATTAGAAGTCATGGTGGTTGGTGGTAATGATGATGTTGTTTTGTTCGAAGTTGTTGTTGATGATTTGGTGGTACTTGATGGTTTCAAAGCCAATGGTAACCTTGTCCGTTGTTCAACTGATTTAGTTTTGGATTGTCCTCCTGCTCCCTTTACGCTTGCCATCAGACCGTAAAAAACAATAACAATATTTATAATATCCAAATTGCAAAAAAATCTTAAAAAAAGTAATTCTCAGAACTTTGGTCTAAAATAAAACAGTCGACAGTAAAGTCGTCGAAAAATAAAAAAGACAAAACCAAAAATGATAAGTATGTCGAAAGAGAGAAATATCGAAAACGACAGATAACGTAAATAGGAATCTTCTTCACCCTAACCCTCACTAATACATTCTCACCTTTACCATCATTTTTGTTTTCGCCCAAAGTCAGGATTTTAAATATATTAATACGATCAAAGCACTATTTACACTAATTCTGCTATCGTTGGATATGACTAAAAGTTTTTTCTTCGATTATTTAATTCAAATCTGAACTGCAGTTATCTGACTATACGAACATTTTATTCTAGCTACTAAGATCAAAAGATGTAATTTCTCACTACGCCTTTTATATACACTAGTTATACAAGTTTATTTTCTGGTGGCCATAAGAGACTAGTCGGGCTAAACTCATTTATAAGACGGCTGAATCGAAATTCTTATGTTTAAGTTGCATCGAAGTTAGTATTTTATCGAAGCTATAACTTCGACAGAAAAGAAAAAAAATGTGTCCGTCGAAGTTGCAACTTCGATGAAAACATGCAATCGAAGTTATAACTTTTACAAACACACTAACCTCGATACGATATATATATATACAAATCTACCTCGTTTCTCTTTCGTATTCAATATCTTTGTTCATACGCGAACCTGCCGTCTATAAGATATATTGCGCCTTACGAATAATATCTTAAAATTTATTTTTCCGCCTTTTCATAAATATAAGAAAATAAAACTAAATAAACGAAAGAAAAATATGCTAAATTGTATATAGTATAAGAAGCACTTAAGAATTCCATATATTTCAGGTGACCAGAATCAATTATACTCTAGCTCGCTGCAAATCACATGCAAAATTTGATAGATCGACTATTTAATATTTCGTTTTACTTTTCTTCATATAACGAACAATTATAGCAGACGAAAAAGTTTTTAAAATAAAGCAAAAGTCACGATAAAATCATCTGGTAACAAGTTATAACTGATCCATACTGAAGTCGCATCATGCCTAAAGAGCTATCGTACAACCCACCGACCAGTTATATCACAGTGACCATGATTTTATGAGATACCTAAATGTTAGTATCTGGTGAACAGTTACATCAGAGCGATATTGAACGAATCAATTGTAAATAGTTATCTGAGAATCTGATGACCAATTATATCACAATGATATTAAACTAATAACATAAGAGTAGCTATCTTAGAATCTGGTGACTAAATTCATCCTTGTGTGATTCAATCACGCAATTTTAGAATGACTTCTAACTGAATGAGACGAAATAAAAAATGAATCTGACACGATTTTAGCTCTACACATCATGTTATGAATCTGGTGACCTGAATTCACTATAATAACGCATGAATTTTGTCGAAAAACATATTTAATAAGGCAGAATAAATAATAGTAGATATTTAATGAAAGCAGTTTTTGCCAAAAAACTGGTGACCAGTTTCAGATATTTTAAAATATAACTGGTGACCAGTTGGTCAATGATGAGTGAAATTGATGAACAATTAAGAAAAAAGTCCCTAAATTATTAGTGATTTTAACTAGGGATGTGCAGTGTCAGTGAAAATACTGAAAAACTGACACTTAAAATATCAGTTCGGTATCCACCGTGCCACTGAAAATATCAGTGTTAGTGTTCACCGAACACCGAATATAAGTGGTCGGTGCTCACCGTGGCACTGAAGATATCGGTGTCAGTGTCCACTGAACACCGAATTTATCAGTTTCTAAAATATTTTTGTGTTAAACCTTATCATTTACAATAATATATCAGTGTGTTCACCGAAAAACTGGACGGTGAGCACCGAACACCGAAAATAAGTGTTCGGTGGACACTGACACCGATATCTTCAGTGCCACGGTGGGCACCGATCACTTATATTCGGTGTTCGGTGAACACTGACACTGATATTTCAGTGGCACGGTGAGCACCTACCACTTATATTCGGTGTTCGGTGGACACTGACACTGATATTTCAGTACCACGGTGAGCACCGAACACTGAATATAAGTGTCGGTGAAAATCGTTGTCAGTGAAATTCAGTGCTCAGTAAACCGACACTGCACATCCCTAATTTTAACATTTTTTATTTTATCCACAAATGTGGATTTGATTTAGGGATGCATTCCGGGTACCAGATTTAGGGTAAAGGATAGACATTCTGATAAAATCGTACAAACTGTACCCACACATCTTAGACGTTTATTGAATGATCAGTTACTCAAGACTCCAGATCATATCATAACATCTCGTCCATACATGAATACTTTATCTCATTCTGTACAATTGGAAATTACAGGTTTCACAGATGATAATATTTCTATGTACGTCAAGCAGTTCTTTGCGGATTTCGGAGATGAAGCACAGAATTTATCTTCTGAACATGAAAAAATATTAAGCTTTCTCAAACGTAATCCTAGAATTTGGGGTATTGCACACATTCCGATAAACCTAGAACTTATCTGTAGTGTCTGGAGCAACACTCACTGGTCAGAAACAAAAACACTAACAATGACAGGGCTGTACGATGAAATTACCAAATGGATATGTCGACGATATCTGATGAAACAAAAAGGAGTTTCAACCGAAGTACTTAAATTAACAAGTAAACGCGTTGTTTATGAGGTCTGTAAAATCGAATTGGCATTTCTGGAGAGCGTCGCATTTTATGGCATGGAAAACAACTCAATTATTTTACGACCATCACTGCTCGAGAGAGCAGAGAATGAGACTAAGTGCTGGTTAGTGGATTATCCGCACTTACTCAATATTGGCCTTCTAAAATCAGTGAACTATTATGGCACGGGGACACTAAATGAAATACAGAAAGATCATTACTTTGTACATCTTAGTTTTCAAGAATATTATGCAGCACGACACTTGGTTACTACACTCAACACCACCGAATCTCACAAAATGATCGAATTTATTCAAGACCATAAGTACGATCGACGCTTTGAATTAATGCTAAGCTTTGTATCGGGGCTTTTGGCACACAGACACAACACTAAATGTAGCGACATATTCTGGGACACGATCTCAAGAGAGCCATTAGATAAGGTTGGCATAAGACACATGCAAATTGTCATTTCTTGCTTAGAAGAGGCACATCATAATGAAAACTTCCACCAGTATGCAGAAGTAATGAACTATATAATCAAGTATGTAGAATATGCCGTCAACTCAGAGTCCGACGTGATAAGCATCTATCTAAACAAGGCCTTACGTAGAAGTCCCTCAATAGTAAACAAACCTGAATTCATCGAAATTCTCACGAAGCTTTTGCAAACCAACATTAAACACACATGGCAGAATGTCAACTCATTGATACTTGAAATACCGCTCTACAATCCGCCGCCGTCCTTCATAAAGTTGCTAGTGACCGCGCTAGGGAATCTCGATGATGGTATACGATGGAACGCATTGCAACTCTTCGGTCAGCTCGGCAACAAGGCAGCAACCACGGATGTCATCGTAGCGCTGATGGCTGCACTAGGGGATACGGATAATCTTGTTCAACTCATGGCACGTGAAGCTCTCCGTCAGTTGACTAAAACCGCAACAACAACCGGCGTAATCACAGCGCTAATTGTCGCACTGAGGAATACCGATAATATTGTCAGAAGTAAGGCATGTGAAATTCTCGGTCAGATGGGAGAAAAAGCTGCAACAAGTGACGTAATCGCAGCGCTAATGACCGCACTAAGCGATACCGATAATATTGTCAGAAGTAAGGCATGTGCAAGTCTCGGCCAGATTGGCAAAAAAGCAGCAATGAACGACGTAATCGCTGCGCTGATGGTCGCACTGGAGGATCCGGATGATATTGTCAAATTTGAGGCATGTGTAGCTCTCGGTGAGATGAACGAAAGAGCAGGAACGGAAGAGATGATCGCAACGCTGGTGATCAAACTGAGAGATGCGGATTGGATTTCCAGACGTAAGGCATGTGTAGTTCTCGGTCAGATGGGTAAAAAAGCAGCAACGGACGACGTGATTGCAGCGCTAGTGAACACACTAGGAGATGTGAATGATGAGGTCAGACAGAACGCATATGAAGCCCTTGGTCGCGTCAGTATGAAAGAACCAACGAACCACTTGATTGACTTATTGGTAAATGCATTAAAAGATGCGAATGCCAGAAATATGGCGTGTAAAACTCTCGGTCGGATTGGTGGAGAAGCAGCAACAAATAGCGTTATTCACGAATTGCTATGTATCGCTAGTTACGATGCTTACGCAGCAGTGGAAAATATTCTGGTGGCTGCGTTCTCGTTGTCTAACATCGATTCGAATACAGTTTCAAAATTATCTGATTTCTGGAGCTGTCAAGCATGGCGCGTACAGAATATATCTATGGAAAAAATTGTGGAGGCGTACATGTTTACAAAAATCCCTGAATGGTGCCCTATCATTCGTTTACATTCCTTTCATACTGGTTGTGCAGTTACCATTGCTCGGAACACAGTTGTTATATATGGCAACTCTAATCCAATAGCGTTTGAGATGCCGAGTTGCGCAGTTTCTAATGATTTAGCTAATGTTTTTGCTAATCAGAGTGGTTCGGCTTTTTATCTCCCAAGTAGTTCGAGAAACGCCGTTTTACCATTTAAACGGTCATTATCGCCTGTTCTGTACGAAAACGACGATAAACGACAAGAAAGACTTTGAAGATCAGTTTTTTTTCGTTTTTACCTATCAGTCAGCTTTTCACAGTGTTATACATGTTAAATCACTGCCGAAACGATTGTATATGTGAATAAGATTTTTGTAATAAATGACAACAAATGTTTTTCATCACATTTATGACCAATGAATACTTGTCTAAATGTTCAAAATAGATTAAAATTTTTATTAAATGTGTAGTTCTGTTAATTATTATTATTCATGAA